GGCAAATATATGCTGTTCTACAATCCATTAAATGCATTTTCACTGTAGATATTTTAAAAAACACTGATTTTAGAAACAGACACAAGCATACACATATTCATTCTAACACAGAAAATGCCACTTAAGGCTTTAATATCAAACATTGCTGTCATAGTCAATTCACAAAAAAAGAGCAGAAAGTGCAAAAGCTCCATTTCAAAAGATCTTTTAAATCACTCCCACAGCAACAGTAATTAGATGCTACCAGTGGGCCCAGTGCTCCTCATCCGTCACACTGTCGTAGAAAACAAGGTACAGACCTGAAAACACTGTTTTGGTCACGTATTATGGTTATCAAACAATCTTAAATACGGTGCAACAAACAGGGAAAGATACAATTCAAACAATGAGTCCCTTACAGTAGGGACAGTTTTTTAAAAGTCTATAGGAGAATGAGATTTAGAAAATCCAGAGAGAATCCTAACTTGGCCCCAGACTTCTCTTAGATCAGCTGGAACCACAGCACCCAGGCAAAGTCCTTGATATGAAAGTTCCCAAGTTCATTTCAGGGAAAAGGAGCTGGGCCCCAGCCCTCACCTGTCTCCTAGTGATCATTCCAGGGCAGGTCCAAAAGTAAAGAGCCAGGGAAGACTCGACTCCCAGCCCTGGCATCCCTACTGCTGCACTCTGGGTTCACGTAAGCATGACAAACAGGCAAAAGAAGGAATTATACACTTGAGAAATCTAATAACGTAAATAGGGGGCAGTTTTTACAAAGTCAGTGTTTGTCAACCATCAAGTTTTCTCCTTAAACGGAAAATGTTCAATCCATAATCAATGTTCTAGGCACCCTTTGGAGGGACAGACACAGAGTTCTTAAAAAAATCTAGCCTGTTACCAAATGGATCTAGACAGCTCATCACCATCAAAAAACCCACTGCCGTGGAGTCTATTCCAACCCTATGGGGACTCTATAGGACAGAGTAGAGCCTATATAAAGCGGAGCTGAGCTGCTCCATAGGGTCTCTAAGGCTGTAAATCTTTACGGAAGCAGACTGCCACATCTTTCTTCTGTAGAGAGGCTGGTGGATTTAAACCACTCAGCTTGTTTTATAACAGTATAATCTAAAGGAGAGAAAAGATTACTTTTTCTAAAAAAACAACAATAAATCAAACACTGTAAAAAACAAGAATCACTGACTTAAATTACTACTCAAACTCACTAACGTCGAGTCAGATCCAACTCATAGCAACCCCTCCTTGGGTTTCCCAGGTGGGTATCACTATCAAAGTACATCACCCAACCTTCCTTCCAAGGAGTGGCTGATGGGTTTGAACCGCCAGCCTTCTGGTTAGTAGTCAAATGCCTTAGCAGTCAAATGCCTTAGGCACTAGGGCACCAGAGCTCCTAAATTACTACTAGTTACCATTAATGTTTTTTATATCCTAAATCCAGTTCCTACTGGATATCGAACTTGTAAAATTATAATTAGAACAAAAATCTAACAGCCACGCTGATAACCAATGACCTAACTCTTAAGGTCAAATTTCCACACCCCTGCATTATCGAAAACAAAAAAATTCTTGATTGCACACATTTAAATTAAATAAGGTAGTCATACTCTGAAAATCTGAAAATATCTAATGTTGCGAGTCACATATTTAACGGCTATTTCCTGTGACTAATCATTCTAACTTCAGTAGCACGTCAAATGGAATTCAGTTAATTACTTATTAGGTCCTGTTGTGGATTGAATTATGTTCCCAAAACTTATGTGTTGTAAATCCTAACTTCTATGCCTGTAGTTATAATTCAATTTGGGAGTGGGCTGTCTGTGTTATGTTAATGAGGCAGGATTAGTGTATGGTGGATTCTGAGTAGATTTCTTTTGCGATAAAGAGAGATTAAACAAGGGAGCAGAAAGACAGACTGGGTCAGATAGATGCCAATACACATGGAGGTCACCAAGGAGCCAGGAAGCAAAGCTGAAGAGGCAAGGACCTTCCTCTACAGCCGACACAGAGAGAAAGCACTCCTGCAGAGCCAACACTCTGAATCCAGACTTCTGGCCTCCTGAGCTGGGAGGGAATCACCGTTTGTTTGTTAAAGCCACCCACTTGTGGTATTTCTGTTATAGCAGCACTAGATAACTAAGGCAGCCCATTCACCTTATGCTCCTTGAAAAAAGAAGTCTCAGCACTAAAGAAAGTCTCAGAATCCAGCGATTAGAATTCAAGTGTACAACTAACTTGAGTGCATTTGGAAACCTGCTCTACCTGAAAAACACGACTGGCAAATATACTCCATCCAAGCTACAGGGCAAACTGCCAACTCTAAAAGTTATCTACTTACGAATATATTTTAAAAATAGAAAGTGAGAAGGAAAGATACCAAAATATTAGTTAGTAGTGGTTGTGCCTGGGCAATAGGACTACAGGCGACTTTTTTGTTCTTCAATTTTTCTGTAGTGTCCATGTTCTCTTTAAACAACATGTATTTGCTTTTATAAAAATATGAGTGATGCCACAATTACAACTTAAAATAAGGTTGAGATACTCCTATTTTCTTGATTTTCCACACCAGGCTGGCATGCTATAGGGATTTCTATTCAAAAGTAGAATTATGTTCCATTCCACACTTCTTTGTCAGCCTTCCTCTCAGTAGAACAAATCCCTAGTAGAACAAATTCTGCTTTTCACAGCAAAAGTATTCATTCTGGCATCTTAGATGAGTCATTGTCTCTTGAAAGGGGTGGAAGTAGCTCTCTAAATCAAGGCACTCACTCTCAAGCCTGTTCAGGTACACCCAGCAGAGTCATATTTTATCCCCCTTTCCAAGAGGGCTCTGAACTTGTCGCGGGCAAGGTGGAAGCCTTGGAGGCTGGAGGTGAGGATGTCACCAGGCTCCCAGGGAGTAAGTCCTTTACCTTCTGAGGGAGAAATAATCCCTTCATGATTGTGCACACAAAGTTCCTATCACCAAAGACATGTCCAGACAGAAATTAAATCTCATACAGAAAACATTTCCTACACTCTTCATCTCCCCATATCTCTGCTTCCACAACAAAGACAGCTGGGCTTAAAATGCCCCAAACTTCCTAGTCAGGGGCAATTTTTATAGAGCAGAATTGCATTTATACAGCAGAATCCATACCAAGTAAGGTAACCTGAAGTGATGATGGTCTGATATTTCCTTTTTATCAAAGTTTTGACTTGGAACACAAGGGATTTAACAGCAATCTTTAAATTCTGTCCCATGAATGACCAAGATCTCATAAAGGTGCATCAGAGATTCCACAAATATTAAATATCATTTTAAAAATATATTTTTAAACTATAATAAAGCAACCTGTACAATCACCAATATCAAACTTCTCTACCTTGGGAACCACCAATTTGTCCATTTGCATTTTCACTGCCTGATATATTGTTAAGTAGATGCTATAAATTAACCTTAAAATAAATTTAAATAAAAATACAACCTACATTGGGGTTCCATGAAGATTTCTTACTGCAAGCAGAGTTCTGCTGATGAAATAATTTGAAAACACAGAAGTAGACAAAGGCATCATTTTTTAAATTCTAAATTCAGTTCCTTGTTGGGCTTTTAGCCTTGGATCCTGTGCAAATTCTAACCAGACTAAGAATTCCTGGACATGCCAACAACTGCAACTGCCCAACTCACAGATAATTAAGACAGATGATGTAACTCCTGTCCACACAGGAAAAACATGTCTGTCCTGCCCTCTCTCCACAATGGAATGTTATTTATAAAGCAGGATGCCTGAGTTAAATAAAATGAGTATCCCTGAGGTCCCTAATTCCTACCTCAAACCTTAAGAACTGTTTTGAAGTCTACCACTCAGCCCAGTGGAGAGGAGGTTAGTTGTAGCCAGTGTAATTTAGGTTAGAAAAATTCAGAAGGCAACAGACTTTCTCTGCTGCACAAGTCACCCAAATCAGCATTTAAGGAAAGCCAGCAGTCAAATGCCATGAGAAATCACAGGAAGCACCTTGAACAGTGAGAATGTGGAGCCTGATGCCCACAGTAAATATTAAAGAAAAAGGAGAGATTCTTGGAGGTAATTTCCAGAACAGTGTAACATACTGGAGGCTTCAAATGAGAAGTCTCAAAAAACTTTCATGTTTGCTCCAAATTTTAAGCCACAAACCCACCATGATTGGAACTAGCCCTTTGGCAATTTTATAGAGGTCAGTCTTACTGGAGGGTTGTGCTGGTGTATGGAATGTTCACGTTGTAGCTACTCCTTTCTGTATATTTTAGGCTACAGAGCCAGAAGTAGGGTGGGGAAAATGAGATGTCAACATTTAAAAATTGTGCTTATCTTTAAGAATGGCTTGCATGGAGTGTTGTGTTTGGCATAGAGGGTTTTTCTCATTAGTTTTACCCTCCTCTGAAGTTAAGTCTCCATCTCTTAGAGGTAGTTAGAATTCACAAAGGCATGTAAAGCCTGAGAAAGTTGAGAGGAGCAGGTGAAAAACTAGTTTCTTTAGCCACAAGCCTTGTGTGTATGTCATTTGTTTGATTTTGTTTAAGGACAGGTTCCCCAAATGAAAATCTCTGGCATCTCTGCAGGGTCTAGTTTGTTGTAGGGTCTGTCTGTCAACAGTAAAGTCCAGCCATGAGTGAATGGTAATGGCAAGGTCTGGAGAGGGAAACTTTCCAGGAAACAAAGCACTGGGCAGCACTGGGTCACCCAGATGGACTGCTCTGCCACCACCAGAAAGGACACAGCATGTCAAGCTGCTGTACCTGACAGTGATACCACGTTAAGATACAACGTGTGCCTCCGTCCAGGAGTAAGAAGACAATTACTTCACTCCATGCACAGTAGAATCCTGGCCACCCACAGACATACTAGTTAGAGCCCAAGACAAGTGAATTTTAAAATGATACACCCTCTCCCCCCGACTTTGCAAGTCACTCTGGCTGTCTTTGCTACTGAATGAAGCAAAATGTATGAGGGAAAAGAAGCTGGGAGCACAGTCACGCCTGACCATCATGTGATCTTGACAGGCGATTTCTTGCTGGCACACAGGAGGGACACGTAGGGAATGCCAATGAAGGCCCACTTCTCACTGGGCCAGAACTTGATGACGGGGCCTTGCTCAGGGATCTCCGAGGCAGCGTCAAAGTAGGCAAAGCACACACAGCCCAGGTAGGCAGCCAGGCAGATGAGGAGGTGCCTGCAAAAGGAGGCGAGGGTGAGAACCCAAAACACACAAACACGCAAAGACCCACCTGGGTTTGTTGGGCCTGCTCCTTGCTAGGGAACCTGCCTCTGGTGGCTATAATTACAGCCCAGGGGCTTCTTATAAGTAGGAAGATGAAGTGATCAATAATCCCCAGAATAGCAGGAGGATGATAAATCTTGAACAGTTCAGGACAAGGCTTAGGAAAGAATGTTCTTAAATAATCATATTTGATAATAGGAATGAGCATGCAAATGCCTTTGGCCTTTCTCTTTTCATATTTCTATGTTGTTTAAATTTATCATAAATAATATATATCATGTTATGACTACAAAGAAAAGATGGTTCAAACTTTGGGGAAAAAACAGAAAGTATACCAAATTTAGAAGTAAATTAAGTTTGAGCCAAAGAAATTACACAGTCTAATTCTTTCATTTTACTTATATCACTAGTGTGACAAGGGAACATTCTGGGTTGATAGAAACGTACTACATCTTGATTGAAATATTGACACAGGTATATACATTTACCAATGCTAGTCAAACTGTACACTAAAAGTCTGGGTGTTTTATCATCTGTAAATTATACTTCAACCGATATGTCGTTGTTGTTAGGTGCCGTCGAGTCATCTCCGACTCACAGTGGCCTCTCGTACAGCAGAAAGGAACACTGCCTGGTTCTGTGCCAGCCCCACGATCTTAGCTATACCTGAGCCCATTGCTGGAGCCACTGTGTCAACCCATCTCGTTGAGGGCCTTCCCCTTTTTCATTTTCCCTCCACTTTGCCAAGCATGATATGTATATCAACCAATATACAATGTGTGCATTGTATAAATTCACAAGTGTAAGTCGAATTTGAACTTAAGAAGTGTCAGGCAATGGATTCCAAGAGATGCCAGAAACCCCAACTTGTGTTTTATTTTGTTTTGATTTTTACAAACAGATATTAAAGTCCACAAGCCTTTAATTTATAGGAGGTTGGGTCTCATGGTAGATATATACAAAGTCAAATGTATAAGGAAATTTAGATGAATTTATTCTTTCAAACAAAGGAGATCTGGTGGTGTAGTGGGTGAGGCACTTGGCTGCTAACCAGAAAGTCAGCTGTTCAAACCCACCAGCTGCTCCATGAGAGGAAAATGAGGCAATCTACTTCCATAAAGATTTACAGCCTTGGAAATCCAATGAGGGTCACTATGAGTAGGAATCAACTCGATGTCAGTAGGTTTTTTTTTTTATTATTATTATTCTTTCAAACTGTATGTTCCTAAGCTATCTCCCTACAGAAATCAGGCTCCCTCTGAATTTGGATCCAACAAAGCTTTTCCAGCTCCTTACCACTAGAATTCCTCCCTGTGAGACCTCAATCTACAAGGAACATCAGAAGGCACATTTCTTTGGGTCCTTGTTATCCTCTGCAGTCACAAGGACAGAGGACAGAGAAGGAAAGACTAAAGCTGAAGCCACTGCTTCCTCTTCAGCTTTCTGAGTACATGACTCTGCATTTTTTTCCCAAAAAAATTGTTACTGTGATTTGGGTGAAAGTTTACAGAGCAATTTCATTTTCCATACAGCAGTTCATACACATTTTGTCTCGTGACATTGACTATAATTTCCCACAATGTAATAGCTCTCTTCCCACTTCCTCCCCATAGCTACTTCTTCCCTGTGTCCTTCCCTCTCATGAGCTCCTGCTCCCCGAGCTATCTCCCTGTGTATACACTGCCCGTCTGTTCTCCCATGATTGATCTCTCCAAGGATTGTATCTACTTGATGTAAATGTTCAGCCCATATGCTGGTCTTTTATTTGGCTGGAAGCCACAGGAGTTCAATTCCAGACCTGAAAGGCAGCTACGGGCCATAGTCTCAGTGGTTTTACCGACCACCAAGCCTGTTTTTTTTTTTTTTTAAATAATTTTGATTTTTGTTCCACTCTATCCAGGATATCCTACACAGATCCCCCTCTGAGTAGTTGACAGTGGTAAATGGGCACCATCTAGTTTGTCTGGTCTCATGGTCATAGGCTGAGGATCATGTGGTCTACAAGTCCCTTGGACTAATTGTTTCCATGCATCTTTGGTTTTCTTCATTCTTCTTTGCTCTAGACAAGGAGAGACCCTCACTGTAACTAGATGGCTGCTTGTAAGCTTTTAAGACTCCAGTCACTATTCACCAAAGTGGGATGTGGAACAATGTTTTTGTGTAGTATGTTATGTTAACCACCACAACTTTGTCCCTTGTCAGCTCTACTATATACCCTCACATCCTTACTAAACTTTCACTGCCATCGAGTCAGATCCAACTCATAGAGACCCCTCAGGTTTCCAAGGCAGTATCACTATGGAAGGAGATCGCCCAACCTTCCTTCCAAGGAATGGCTAGTGGGTTTGAACCACCAGACTTCTGGTTAGCAGTCAAATAAATGCCTTAGGCACTATGCCACCAGACATACAAATATGCTTATGGAAACATTGTCTGCCAGCCCTATACATGGTCATGGGCAGACTCCCCACTGCCTAGACATACCTGGTCATTCAGCCTGTCTACCCACTTATTCACCCGTAGATCAATGTTGGCCATCACTGACAACACAGTACTGTATGTGCAAAACGGTTCATCTTTGTTGTCTGTCTGTGTCTCCCTCTTCCTCAATGCCACCATGTTGATCACTCACATTTGATGCATTGCCCTTCCCTTCACCCAAATCAATACTTGTCCCTTCCTGTCTAGCAGTGTTCCCTCCCTTCCCCTTCCACCCCGGTAGCCAACAAAGGAAGTTTCTTTCCATATATAAACCTTTCCTTGACTTTTCACAATAGTGGACTAATACAATATTTGTCCTTCTGTGATCGACTTATTTTACTCAGCATAATGTCCTCCAAGTTCATACATGTTATGCTGTGTTTTGCAGATTCTACATTATTCTTCAGGGTTGCATAGTATTCCATTGTGTGTATATACCACAGTTTAGTTATGAATTCTTCTGTTGATGGACACCTAGATTGTTTCCATCTTTTTACTATTGTAAATAGTGCTGCAGTGAACATTGGTGTGCATATATCTGTTCTTGCCCTGCTCTCACTTCTTTAGGATATATACCTAGTAATGGGATTGCTGGGTCAAATGGTATTTCTAACTCCAACTTTTTAAGGAATCACCATACTTCTGCATATTGTTTTGTAATCTGCTTTACTTTTACTTAACAGAGTATCCTGAATATTGTAAAGGATAGATGTTCTAATTCCTTATCACTGGACTCCTAAGTTGTTTTTGTATAACCAAGTGGGTGATACTGAATCATTCACTACTTCTCTGGGCTTCTGTCACCACCTGTAAAATGTGTGGGTGTGACTGTCCCTAGATGATCTATAAGGTCCATGCTTTCACCTGGCCACTCAGGCCCAGAAGGTGTATTATTATTCAAGACCATCCCCGTCTCCACATCACACCTGTCCCAAGTCCCCACTCCTCTGTAGAGTGGCTCTCACTAGTCTAGCTCAGATTATGGATTCAATTTTCAAGCTCCTTTGTGCATAAACAATTCTTTTTGTTCTGGCTAAACCTGCTTTCTGAAGCCAATTCTGCTTTTTACAATGCTTCCCATTCCTTCTGGAATGTCTGACAGTCTGGGTGAGGAGAGAGCTCATGTGGGCTTTGCCCTGTCTGCACTGCACACCTGTGGGCCTGGCAGTGTGTGCAGATACCTGCCTCATTGCCAATTCCCCATTAGCAGGGGCTGCTTACCATACGCAGTGCAAGTAGGGAAAGTGGAAGGACGATAGCAGCTCACAGAAGGCTCGGTCACTGATCCAGCAGAAGAGAGCAAGTGTCCACCAGAGGCCAGAGAAGAGGCCCAGCTTAAACACACGCACATTGTCACACCTGCATGGGACAGAGAGAGCACCCATCAGCAGCCCTGGTTCCCACCTACCACTGGCTACTTCTCTGTCTCTTCACTGGTTCCTTCAGCAGTGAAGGCCCCCAGGGCAGCTTCTCCTCCCAACAGTCACTCCTTTGGTCCCGTGAGTTAAACACCATCTACACACAGATGATTCACAAAGCCATACCTCCCACCCAGGCCTCTCCCCCCTGACTCCAGACCCAACCACATTCTTGACATGTCCTCCAGATATCTAATATAGATCTAAATTTAACATGGTGGCACAGTGGTTAAGCACTCCACTGCTAAATAAAAGGTTGGCTCCATGAGAGAAGAAAAAAAATGGCAGATTGCTTTCATAAATATTACTGCCTTAGAGACACTAAAGAGCAGTTCTACTCTGTCTTACAGGATCACTGTGAGTTGTAATTGACTCAATATCAATGAGTATAATGAGCTTCTACTCTGTTCTCTTGCCCAAAGCCTATTCTTCTCCCAATCTTCCTCATCTCAGAAAGAGGCAATGCCATTCTTTCAGATGCTCAGGCTAAAACTCTTAGAAACATTCTCTTTCTCTCATGCACCAACCTCATTCATCAGCTCATCCTTCAAAATATATCCAAAATCTGACCTATCCTCAACCATCTCCACCACTGACCACCTTGGTCTATGCCACCATTGCTGGATTATAGCAATAGCCTCCTAGACTGGTCTTCCTCTTTCCACTCTTGCCCCTACAATCAATTCTCAGCATTCTGCTCAAAAGCTCACTCTATCTTCCCTCTTTTAACCAGAGTGAGAGCCAAGTTCTTACAGAGGCCACAAGGTTATCCTCTCACCTCTTCTCCTTCATATTCTCCCTCTGCTCAGGCAACCAGGGGATTCTTCCTATTCCTCAAATATTCTAAGCATGTGTCTACAGGGCCTTAGCTATTTCCTCTGCCTATATTCTACCCCCAGATATCCCCATAGTTCACCTTCTTCAAGACTTCGCTCAAATGTCACTCAATAAGTAATAATTGCAACACTTTCCACCACCATCCAAGTGATCATCCTGATCTCCCCCTTCCCTCCTTCAATTTTCATTAAGGCAATTATAACTCCTCTGACATACTCTACATTTTACTTATTTATTTACTTACGATCTGTCTCCCCAACTAATGTGTATTCTGCTCACCATAGTATTCCCAGTACCCGGAACTGTGCCAGACACATACAAGACTCTTGGATATACTACTCTTATTTGTTGAATAAAGGAATGAGTCCTTACACACTAGGATACAACGTTTTTCTAAAATAAATCTTAACATCTCAAAGGAAATTCCATAGCATTTTGTTCTTCCTTTTCACTCAGTTGCTCATAAAGTAGGTGATTTCCATTCCTGTCAGGGATGGGGGTGCCCAGAGGCAGTGGGGTAGCTGAAAGCACTTCTCAACCCTTCCTTCAGGGTTCCTTCCCCTCAGTGGATGGCTTCTAAGTCAATTGGGATTTCTCATAGGACCCAGAGACTAACACAAGATCTGCAACCAAGAAGGTGCTTAATACAGTTTTGTAAAAGAAATAAACAGATGCCCAAAGCCTGACTCCCTGGTACCTTTTTGAGCTGCCTGGTAGAAATATGAGGTGAGACCCTCATCCATTGCAGGTGGGAATGCAAAGTGGTACAGCCACTGTGGGAACCAATTTGACAGGTCCTCAAAAAGTTAAATGTGGAATTACCATAAAACCAAAACCAAACCCACTGCCATTGAGTCAATTCCTACTCACAGCAACCCCCATTGGGTTTCCACGGCTATAAATCTATACAGAAGTAGATTGCCTCATCTTCCTCCCACAGAGAAACTGGTGGATTTGAACCACCAACCTTCTGGTTAGCAGCCAAATGATCCAGCAATTCCACTGGTAGGTATTATAGCATGGGGCAGAACTTACTTTCTTTTTACGGCTGCTGTCATTATGGGGCAGCGGTAGTTCAGCAGCAACCCTGGGGTGGCCCAAATGGTGAAGCACGTGGCTACTGAAAGGTTAGTGGTTCCAACACATCCAGAGGGACCTTAGAAGAAAGAGACCTGGCCATCTACTTCCAAGAAAAAATGTGGACATTGAAAATCCTATGGAACACAACTCTCCTCTGAAACACATGGGTCACCAAGTCAGAATTGACTCAATGGCACCTGGTTTGAATTTTTCTTTTTTTTCCTGGTGGTTCAGTGGTCAAAGTCTTGACTAATACACATGAGATTCTTAGCCAGTGTCCTTCATGAGCAGCCACGTCTGTCTGTCAGTGTAGGCTTACATGTTGCTATAATGCTGAACAGGTTTCAGCAGAGCTTCCAGACTAACATGGACTAGGAAGAAAAGTTTAGAAATCTACTTTCAAAAATTAACCAAAAACCCTATGGATCACAATGGTCTGATCTGCTTGAGGTTCCCATTAATTAGGGCTGACTTGATGGCAGCAAACAACCACATGGTCCACAAGTAGTTAAGCATCAGACAGAATCACCTGAGCAGAGTCTTGAGAGTTTTTGTTTTGTTTTATAATGCATTGAGATATTTTACATGCCATAACATGCAACCCACTAATATCACATTCACTCATTTAAAGTATACATATAATTCAGTTGTTTTCAGCATATTCACAGTTGTTCAGTCACCCCACAATCTAATTTCTTAACATTTTCAACATTCCAAAACAAAACCCCATGCCCACTAGTAGTCATTCCCTTTTCTCACTCCCTCCCCACACCTCTACTCTCACTTGCTGCACCCCAGCCCCAGGCAACCAGGTTCCATAAGTTTCTAAAACTATAGATGCCCAGGCCCTCATTCTAGAGCACAAGAATAATGCAGAGCTAAAGATCTGCACTTGCAAACAGTTTCCTAAGTAACTCTGACATATCCCCCATAAAGATCATAGTACTGGCACATGGTAAGAACTCAATGAATACTTGCTGAGTAAGTGAGTGAGTGAACAAATTCAGGGTTGCTAAGAACCTTTCCAGCTCTAAGAAGTAATACAACAAGTGATAAAGTAGAGAGTTGAGATTTTTAAGGCTTTTAGAGGACTGAGACTATATCCTTTATTGTGTACTGTATTTTTTCCTCATATAATGTACCCAAATAAGTAATGCATACATGTATATAATGCATGCACAGTGCACAGAGGAAACTGAGCTCAAGGGAGTTATGAGCTTTGCAAAACATTATACAACCCACATGTTATCTACGGGAAAATACATTAGTTAATTATCTGTTGTTTTTTTTTTCTGGAAAGGACTTAATATCATAGTTATCCTAATACCAACATCAGCCTGTGTCTGAAGTGGTCTCTTTCTTCCCCTCTCCTACTACTCAAAGCAGCCAACTAGAAAGAGCTGACAGTAGCCTGCTCTCAATGAGCAAGTGCTAATACCTCTTCCATCGTTGGCCCTGCCTGTTGTTGCTGATGATCAAAGCAACTCCCAGAGGCAGAGGTGGAGAGAAATGTTTAGCTCCTCTCAAAACAAAGCAGAGCAGAATCTGAGCAAACACATTGCATAGAGCAACTGTTACACAAAAGGAGACAGAGGGAAACCTCACATAAGACACTCCACATCAGTAACAATGAAAAAATCATGGACTTAAAATGCACTTATAAAAGTGACTGCAAAGCTGTCAACCACTTGGAGAGGGATCTGTGTAGGAGATCAATAGAGAGGGAAAACGATGTGGAACAAAACTCAAAATCATTTAGAAAAAAAAAAGGGGGGGTGGGGGGAGTACCAGATTTGCTGGTCTGATAGAGCCTGATGGAACCACTGAGACCATGGCCCCTAGCTGTCCTTCAAGTCTGAAATTGAACCCACTCCTGTGGCTTCCAGCCAAACAAAAGACAGGCATAGGAGTTGAAAATGTACCTGAGGTAGATACACTCCTTGGAAAGAACAATCATGGGAGAAAGAAGGGCTGTGTATGCAAAGGGAGACTGCTCAGGGATGGACACAGGGAAGAGGTAACTATCGGGAGGAAGTGGCAGGGGAGCTGTTGCATTGGAGTAAGTTGTAGTCAATGTCATGAGACAGCGTGTGTGTGAACTGCTGTATGGAAAGTGAATTTGCTCTGTAAATTTTCACCCAAATCATAATTTAAAAAAAGTGTGTGTGTGGGGGGGGAGGGACACAAGGATTTAACTAAAAAAAAAAAAAAAAATGTGAGCGCAAAGACCTCTGAGACTATGGTCTCTAGCTGCCCTTCAGGTCTGGAATTGAACCCACTCCTGTGGCTTCCAGTCAAACAAAAGACAGGCATATGAGCTGAACATTTACATTAGGGAGATACACTCCTTGGACAGATCAATCATTGGAGAATAGAAGGGCTGTGTGTGCACAGGGAGACCCTGGGGCTAGGAGTGCATTGGAGGGAAGGACACAGGGAAGAGGTGGCTATGGGGAGGAAGTGGGAGGGGAACTTTTGCTTTGTGGGAAATTGTTGTCAATGTCATGAAACAAAGTGTATGTGAACTGCTGTATGGAAAATGAATTTGCTCTGTAAAGTTTCACCCAAATCAAAATAAAATTTAAAAACAAAAAGTGAGTGCAAAGAGAGCTCAGTAATCCCACTTCCAGGAATTTATTCTTGCAAAGTAATCAGAGATTTGCAAAAATATGTAGCCACAAATCATCATTTGAGTATTATTTATTAGTGTAAAATTAGAATCAACCTAAGTCCTTGAGGGTAAGATATGGGTAATTTGTTTTTCCGTAAGGTTACTTTTCTACATTTTTCAGATGTTCTGTAGTAATTTAGTGTTCTTAGTTTGGCTAGAGGAAGACATTAGTGTACCCAAGAGTGCTAAAATAAAATGTTTCTGGATTTAACCTGAACTCAAGAGTATGTAACTTTCCAGAGGAAAATGCTTATGCAAATAGCAAAGGCCTTATGTGACAGATTGTAAATGTGAAACTAAGCCTCAAAGCACAGATCTATCAAAGTTACAGTATCCCACATAAAGTTAAGGTTTCCTTATATATAAAAATTCACTTTCCCTGCTTCCTTCCCCTTTTTCTTTCTGTGTATGTGAATGCCATGACCTTTTTAAAACTAGTTGCTCTCAAGTCCACTCTGACTCATGGGAGACCCTATGACCATAAGGTTTTCAATGGCTGTGATTTCTCAGAAGACCACCAGACCTTTCTTCCAACGCACCTCTAGGTGAACTGAAATCTCCAATGTTTCAGTTAGCAGCTGAGTGAGTTAACTGTTTACAGTACCCAGGGGTTCCATAGCCCCTTTAGGATTTTACTTTTCTCTTTATTTTTATCACATGAACAAATCTGCTCTCCTTTCTACAGAATTAAGTCTGAGCAGCTTCACTTAGGTGCTCGGCAGGTTCTTGAGATGTTCTGCTGAGCTTGCTCTCGATCACTGGGATTGTACCTACTATGCATTAGTTGCTCCCCTCTTTCTGAAAAGGAGATCATTAACATTTTGAACCAAACCCTCAAACCTGCTTCCAATCAGTAGTCAGGAACTCATTCTTCATGAAGAGTAAAATTTGTCTCCCATACTCACAGGAACCAGGGGTAGGGGGGTTTTCCTATCCCAGGGCAGCTTAAGGGGCAGGCAGGAAGAAAGGCACCCACCTCTTTAGCTCTGCAATGAGCAGCACAGTGCAAGGAACTCCCAGTGTCATCAGAGAGATATTGTTGATGGCGGGTTTAACAAATGCCAGGCATGTCGTAACCGCAGACAGGACACAGACCACTGCTTTGAACCTGCCCCTGAATTGGTGGAAGCAAAACCCAATCAATTAGAAAAACAGTGTTTGTTCATTTGTTTGTCTGTTTAATATTAGCAAGATACAGGCACTTCAGGAGGAAGTGCAAGCTAAAATCTCTGCACTTAGTACCAAGAGCCTAAAAAACATTATATTCACAGCTCAGTAATCCCACTTGTAGGAATATCCTTACAAAATAATCAGAGATTTGCAAAAATATGCAGCCACAAATCATCATTTGAGTATTATTTATTAGTGTAAAATTAGAATTCAACCTAAGTCCTTGAGGGTGAGATGTAGGTAATTTGTTTTTCCTTAAGGTTACTTTTCTATATTTTTCAGATGTTCTGCAACAAGGGTTGGCAAATTATTTCCATAAATATTTTTGTTTTTGTAGGTCATACCATCTCTGCTGCAACTATTTAACTTTGCCTTGTAACCATGAACAGTAAGGAGATGAACAGACATGGCTGTGTGCCAATAAACTTTATTTACAAAAACCAGTGGTATATCTTATTTGGACCACACAATGGAGTCTGACACTCTCTGTGCTCCTGGGTGAACATATATAACTTTTATAACAAAAACAAAGGCCATAAGAAAACAAACCTTCCTAATAGTACCAAAAAAAAAAGTCCTATGTGTCTAGCATACAAAACTGAAAGTCCTAAGAAAAAAAATTCTACTAGTGTCTACACTTACAATCCACAAGTCTAGTTTGTGTGCTAGAATTTGTGTTGACAAGTTTTCAACATGACAGATATTAGAAAAGTAATTGATACCACCCTTCCAGCCTTCAGGAGAGGTGGCGTGGCTGAAAGAGCCAAAAGTGGAGACGTGCTCCTGGACATGCTCCTTCCTCTCCCCCTGGGACTCTTATCTCCTTATCTATAAATGAGAAGGCTACAAAAGATGATTTTGAGGCTTCACCCATGATTTAAATTTAGGAGTACAAGATTTTCCTGAAGTTTCTCTTATTCATCATTGCACAATTTGCTTTGGCCAAGAGCCCTGGAACAAATCATAGTTAGGAAACTAAATAAATTCCATTAAAAAGAAATCAAAGTTCATTGAACCTTCAAAATACAAATTTATCTCCTGAATAGGAAAACTGTTTATCATCAAGGCACAGGAAGTCATTGATCAAGCTGCCAAGTTTCTGACTGGTGTGAACAGGAACTGTAACCCTGAACCTCAACCAGGGGAAAAAATATACATATGGGAAAGGAACTAAGCAGCAAATCCTCAGGAGAACCATGTTTTCCTCCTGGCCCTGGCTGGCATCCTTCAACTCCTGGATAAAAGGCTGACAGTCCACAACTCCACCACCCTGTCACAACATGGCCCCTGAGGGGCCCTCAGTCACTCTTTCAGTGGATTTGAGGTTATGTGACTCATGCCAAGGCCAGTTGGCCTTTTTAGACTGGATAAAAACGTCATCAGAAACTTCCAAGTTTCATCACCTTCTATCCAATGGTTTTGGATTCAGGCACACATTAGAGTGGGCAGCAGAGTGATTAAAACACAGGTGTTGGAGTTCAGACTGATACATGTTCAAATCCTGCCTCCACCACTTAGTAGCTACAGGACTTTTAGCTAGTAATTTAATACTCCAAGCCTCAAGTTTACCATCTGAAAATTAAGGCATCCTGCTCCTCATAGTATTTTTGTAAGCATTTTACAGTCCTTAACACAGTGACAAGTACAAGTTAACCAAAAAAATAAATCAGTTGCCCTTGAGTCAATTCCAACTCATGGTGTTCCTGTGTCAAATGAGAAGTGCACTCCATAGTGTTTTCAATGGCTGCAATCTTTCAGAAGTAGATCACTAGGCCTTTTTTCCAACGTGCCTTCCGAATGGATTCTAAATGCTAATTTTTGGTTAGTAGCCAAGTGCTTCCTTGCTTATGTCACCCAGGGACTCCTCAGGCACAGGTTATGTGTTAATAAAATTCATTATTACTGTTACTATTACTAATACTTTGAGAATAAATGTTACTTTAAATAACTTTATTATTAGTGGAGTCTCTGGGTGGCACAAATGGTTAAGCACTCAACTACTAGCTGAAAGGTTGATGGTTCGAACCACCTAGAGTCACCTCAGAAGACAGCCTGGTGTTCTGCATCCAAAAGGTCACAGCTTTGAAAACGCCATGAGCCCTATGGAGAGTCAGCATCAACTTGCTGACAGCTAACAACATTATTATTACAGGTAATAATATCACTTTCTCAGGGAGCATCTGCCTGACTGGTGTTACAATCATCCAAAGCTCTGTACTGTACTGCCAAATACTTCAAAGGCAGCAAGCTTGATGAAACATGTCATCTTTTAAAGAGTCCATTCACAGACACCTTCCCCAGATCAGTTCCACAGGGTATGGAGGAATGTTTTGGGGCAGGCAGCTTAGCTAGAGAAGACGTACTGTGAACACACAATTCTGTGACCTGCAGAAATAAACAGAGGTCATGTGGCCAGCAGAAAGCCAGCCAGCCCTGATTCACCAGAGGGCCTCGGTACAAAGGACAGCTAGAAATATCCAGAAGGAAGGGGCCTAACAGGGTGTTTTCTAAACAATGATGATGGGCAACCCTACTGGTCCTGTTTTCAACTTTCTAACACATTATGATTCCATACTAGAACACAATGTCAGGGGACCCTTAGCACCCCTTCTTCCTGTGTTCTCCAAACCAAAATCTAACAATCTAATCCCACGGTATCTTATTATGATTTTGATTTGCATCTCTCTGATGGTTAATAACAATAAGCATCTTTTCATGTATTTTGTGACCTTTGAATGTCCTCTTTGGTGAAATGTCTATTCAAGTCCTTTGCCCATTTTATGACTGGGTTAGTTGTCTTTTTGTTGTTAAGCTGTTGAAGTTTTAGATGTATTTTAGTTATTAGATTCTTGTTGGACATATTCCGAAGAAATTCTCCCAGTCAATACCTTGTTTTTTTGTCAAGGAAATGCTTATCTATGGAAGGACATTTTCTTTGTTGGTTACCAGGGGTGGGAGGGGAGGGGAGGGAATACTGTTAGATAGATAAAGTTTTGATTTGGGTGAAGAGAAGGGCAATGCACCAAATGTGAGTGATCAATATAGTGGCATTGAAGAAGAGAAAGACATAGAGAGAGGTACGTGGGAAGTACAGACAACAAAGATGAACCCTTTTGCACATATAGTACCACGTGGTCAGTGAAGGCAAACACGGGTATATGGGTGGATAGATGGGTGGACAGGCTGAACTAGTAGGTAAGTCTATGAAGTGGGGAGTGTACCCAAGAATATGTATAGGGTTGGCAGACAATGGTCCTATAACTTCATGTGTATGATCTCAATTCCCAGGTGTATAGTGGAGCTGACAAGGGGCAAGGTTGTAGTCACAGCTTGGTCACAGCCAGCTACCCAGAGGGACTGAGTAGTTGAACCTGTGGGCTCGGGACCATAGTTGCAGAGGACATCAAGCTCAATTGGCATAACATACTACACAAAACATTGTTCCACCTCCTACAGTGGCAAGTAGCAACTGGGATCTTAAAAGCTTGCAAGCTGCCATCTAGATGCAACGATGGGTCTCTCCTCATCCAGAGCCAACAAGTATGAAGAAAACCAAAAATTCATAGAAACAATTAGTCCCAGTGACTGGTACACCATCCGATCTGCAGCCTATACAACTATGAGACCAGAAGAACTAGATGGTGCCTGGCTACTACTGTCATCCACTTGGAAGAGGATCTATGTAGGAGATCCTGGATAGACAGGGAGAGCAATGTGGAACAAAACTCAAAATCATTGGGGAAAAAAAAGGGGGGGGGGACCAGGTTTGCTGGCCCGATAGAGCCAGGTGGAACCACTGAGACTATGGCCCCTAGCTGCCCTTCAGGTCTGGAATTGAACACACACCTGTAGCTTCCAGCCAAACAACAGACAGGCATATGAGTTGAACATTTACCTGAGGTAGATACACTCCTTGGAGAGAACAAGCATGGGAGAAAGAAGGGCTGTTTATGCACAGGGAGACAGCTCAGGGGTCAGGAGTGCATGGAGGGATGGAAATAGAGAAGAGGTAACTATTGGGAGGAAGTAGAAGGGGAGATGCTGCATTGTGGTAAACTGTGGTCAATGTCATGAGACAAAGTATATGTGAACTGCTGTAAATTTTCACCCATATCACAACAAAAAGAAAAAAAAAATACCTTGTTTTTTCACTTTTTTTGGTAAAGGTTTTTGATGAACAAAAATTATTAATCTTTATGAGGTCCCATTTATTTATTTTGTCTTTTGCTGTTTGTGCTTTTGTTATTATATTAGACAATTCATTTTTGAAAACCAGGCTTGACAGCATTGCTCCTGTGTGTTCTTCTAAGAATTTTGATTTTTTTTTTTTTTTTTTTGCACATTTAGCTCCTTCATTCATTATGAAGTTGTTTTGTATATGGTGTGAGGTATGGGTCATATTTCATTTTTCTGCATGCAGAAATCCAGTTTTCCAAGGATAATTTATTGAAGAGACTCTACTTTCCACATTGAATGAATTTAGCACACTTGTCAAAAACCAGTTGACTATAGATGAGTGGGTTTATTTCTGGACTCTCAATCTATGCCATTTGTCTATGTGTACATTGTTATACCAGCACCAGGCTAGTTTGATTACTGTAGCAGTATAGTATGTTTTAAAATCAGGAAGTGTGGGTCCTCCTACTTCATTCTTTCTTTCAGCATGGTTTTAGCTCTTCTGGGCCTCTTGCCTTTCCATACAAAGTTGAGGATTGATTTTTCTATTTTTGTAAAGAAGGCTGTTGGAATTTTGGTTGGGATTGCATTGAATCTATAGGTCACTTTGGGTAGTATTGACATCTTAATATTAAGTCTTCCAATCCATAAACATGGAACATCTTTCCATTTGTTTAAGTCTTTAATCTCTTTTAGCAGTGCTTTACAGTTTTCATTGTTTAAGTCCTTCACGTCATGAGCTAGATTTATTCCTAGGTATTTCATTCTCTTTGATGCTATTGTAAATGGAATTATTTCCCTAATTTTCCCTTTCATTTTCTTTATCACTGATGTACAGACACTGAGCTGATTTTTGTTAACCTTGTACCCCACAACTGTACTAAATTCTTCTATCAGCTCTAGAGGTTTTCTTGTGGAGTCTTTGAGATTTTCTATAAAGGATCATATGATCCACAAATGAAGATAATTTTTTAAATATTTTATTGAGTTTTTGGTGAAAGTTTACACAACAAGTTATGTTGCCATTCGACATTTTCCACACAAGTTGTTCTATGACATTAGTTACATTTATCACAACGTGTCAACATTCATCACAACGTGTCAACATTTTGTTTGTGTGCTATTTGTTCCTTTTCTAGTGTTCTAGTTTCCCTGCCCCCTTATCACCTCATCTTTGCTTTTGAAAAATTGTTGACCTTTAGATCTCATACTGATGGTTTTTAAGGAGGGCACCAATGTTATCAGTACTATCCTTTATTTTGTGTGTCATTCTGCAGTTTCACTAGAAGGTGGACTCAGGATAGGCTCAGTTCTACATTTAAAAAGTGTCTCAGGGCAACAGTCTCAGGGGTTCTCTATTCAAATGCAGATAATTCTACCTTTTCTTTTCCAATCTACATATCTTTTATTTCTTTTTCTTGTCTTATTGCTCTGGCTAGGACTTCTAATAGACCATTGAATAGAACTGCTGAGAGCAGGCATCCTTTGTCCCAATTTCAAGGGGAACACTCTCAGTCTTTCTCCTTTAAGTATAATATTGGCTGTTGGATTTTCATATATGCCCTAAATCAGATTGAGAAATTTTCTTCTATTCCAATCTTCTTCAGTGTTTTCATCAAGAAAGGGTGTTGGATTTTATCAAATACTTTTTCTATATCCATAGAGATGATCACATGGTTCTTTTCCTTTGCTCTATTGAGGTGGTATATTATGTAGATTGGTTTTCTAGTGTTGAACCATCCCTGCATTCCTGAAATAAATTCCACTTGGTCATGGTGTATGACTCTATTAATATGCTGTTGGATTCTGTTTGCTAGTATGGTGTTGGGAGCTCTGGTAGCATAGTGCCTAAGGCACTTGACTGTTAACCAGAAGGCTGGCAGTTCAAACCCACCAGCCACTCCTCGGAAGGAAGATGGGGCAATCTACTTCCATAGTGACACTGCCTCAGAAACCCAAAGAGGGGTCGCTATGAGTTAGGTCCGACTCAACGGCACATAACAGTAACAACAACAACAGTATGTTGTTGAGGACTTTTTTCATCTATATTCATAAGAGATATTGCCCTATAGTTTTCTTTCCTTGTGGTATCTTTGTCTGGTTTGGGTGTCAGGGTTATGTTGGCTTCATAAAATGAATTATGGAGTATTCCTTCCTTCTCTATCTTTTGGAAGAATTTAAACAGTATTGGTGTCAATTCTGCTCTTGATATTTGGTAGAATTTCCCAGTGAAGCCATCTGGTCCAGGACTATTTTTTTGCTGGGAGGTTTTTGATCACTCCTAACTTGTTATGGGTCTATTAAGATTTTCTATTTCCTCTTGAGTCAGTCTGAGGAGGTTGCGTGCTTCTAAGAATTTGTCCATTTCATCTGGGTTATCCAGTTTATCGTCATGCAGTTATTCATAATAATTCTATCATAATTCTCTTTATTTCTATCAGGTCAGTTGTAATGTCCTCTTGTTTGTTTTCTGTTTTGGTGATAAGTTATATTCTTGAGGGTCTATCTGCTAGATTATTCTCAAAGATAATACTATTTCATTCAAATCCTGCTTCGCAGTATGAAGATTGTACAGTTAATCAATTTAAAGTATGCTTTCTCCCTATTCTCCCTATTTATTTAAAAATAAATTGTTATTGTTAAAAATTAACATAAGCTAGTTGTAAAAAATTCCAAACAGACTAAAAGTAAGAGTGGAAGTTCTCTCTCCACTCTTAGGAAAGAGTAGCCAATGGCAGGAGTTTGGTGTCCTTGTCTTCCCAGGTATTTTTGTGCACACACAAAAGCATATATCCCAAAAGAATTTAGTTCATTAATTCTAAAAATAGAATATAACACATCCAACTCTACAATGTGCATGTTGCAGGCAGCATTTTTCATAGGTATTCCTCTTCTTCAGTACAGAGAGAGCAGCCATCCTCTTTAACAGCTGCATTGCTTCTACTTCTTCTCAGAGTACCAGGAAAACTATAATGTCTTCTTTTATTTTCTTGGTATAACTCCTCCCTGGGTACACACAGATTGCTTAATTGAATCCATATTCTTAGATTATTTATCCAAATATACTTTTTCACAGAACACAGTGTCCTAAAGAGAAATATGTGGGTAGTATGTTCTGGGAATGTGTCTCATCCTGATTAGGCTGGCTCTCCTTATTACAGATATTACTAGAAAACCTCACTATATTTCTTTTTTGAGTGAGAAAATCCCAAACAAGTGAAAACCAACAAATAAACAAACAAAAAAACACCAGAAACAAAAAACCAGTTGCTGTGAGTCAGTTCTGACTACTCATAGCATCCCTGTGTTCCAGATTAGAATTATGCTCCATAGAGTTTTCACTGTGATCTTTTGGAAGTAGATCATCAGACCACAGCACTAAAAAGATAATGGCTACCCTATACTTACTACATGTCCAAACGAATACCTGCATACCACACACACACACACACACACACACACACACACTCCTGCCTAATGCTCCCTAATTTTTATTCTCATTAAGGCACCATAATCCACCCAGTCATTCAGACCAAAGATTACAAAGTCACCCTTAATGCTTCTTTTTCTTACACTCCTCATCTAGTCCATTAGTAAATCCTATTGATAACACCTTCAAAATCATCCTGATATCAATCCCCTCCACTGTTATACCCTTGCCCAAGCATCATCACCTCTTGTTGGGGCAATCACTATAATGATTTACTAACCGGTCGTCCTGACTCCACTCTTGTCAATTACAGTCCATTAACTATGGTGATCAAGTATGAATCAGACACTAAAATTCAGCAAAGGCTTCCATAGCATGAGAATAAACCCTGACACCCTTGTGGCCTACAGAGCCCTGTGTGGTGGTCCCCACTCACCTCCCCTTCCTCCTCTCCCACAGCTTTCCTGGTGCTCACTTGCTTTAGCCACACAGGTTTCCTTGCTATGCCTCAAACATGTCCAACACATTTCTAACTCAGGGCCTTTATACTTGCCATTCCCTCTGTCTGGATTGTTGTTCCACCACTCATGTGCCAGTTTGTCATACTGCAGTAGCTTGCATGTTGCTGTGAGGCTAGAGGTTACACCACCAGTATTTCAAATACCAGCAGGGTCACCCATGGTGGACTAGGACTCATTCTCTCACTTCATTAGGATCTCTGTTCAAATGTTTATCTGACTAAATTCTTGAAATCAACACTCACGTCACCACTATCCCCTTAAGCTGCTTCATTTTTTTTTTTTTTAATCATAGCACTTATTACTCCCTAACATTTTATTTTATATTTGTCAGCTACTCCTCAGAAAGAAGACTGGGCAATCTACTTCCGTAGTGATACCACTTCAGAAACCCAAGAAGGGGTTGTTATGAGTCGGATTCGACTTCATGGCAGTGAGTTTAGTTTTTTGGTTTGTTGAACTACAATTTCCCAATTTCCAGTGTAAGCTCATTGGAAATAGGGACTCGGAACTTTTGTTGATGTCCCAGTGCTTGGATAACTGGATACAAAACATATCAATGACAATGAAGATGGTGCAGAATCAAACCACATTTTGTTCTATTATAAATAAGGTCGCCATGAGTTAGAGTCAACTAGATAGCAGCTAACAAAAGATAAACTCCAAAACCAAACTCACTGCCATTGAGTCAATTTCAACTCATAGCTACTCCCATAAGGTATCCAAGGCTGTAAATCTTTATAGAAACAGACTGCCTCATCTTTCTTCCATGGAATGGCTGATGTGTTCAAACCACTGACCTTCTGGTTAGCAGCCAAATGCCTTAACCACTGCATCACCAGAGATCCTTAACAGATAAGTGCATAGTAGATAGCACGTGTTCAAAATATTTTACTGGATGAATTAATAACCGTATAACCATAACACAATGGCCATTATAATGTCCCCCTTCCTGAAATTCCAGGTTTCTAGCTTAGAGTTCTGTATACATGTGTAGATATATATGTATGTAACTCTCATCAGAAGCAACTACAAGGCAATTTGAAAACTACAGTATCTATAGTTCCAAGAACCAATTCCTCAGTGAGGCTTCTCCTTCAGACATATAAAGTGGCAGAACTGGATTAGACTCAAGGAAGTGTTCTAACATGAAATCAAAGAAGGTCTTTGAACTACCATCCAACAACTTCTCCCCCATTGAAAATCTTTCCATACTTTTTCATATCAAATAAAGGAGATATTTTGATTTTTTGCCTTTAATGGTCATATAAATTCTTCCCCAATCATATTAAAAGTCCCTTTTTATCTGTCAGTCTATTTACACTATGAGATCATAACCAATCAGTGGATACTAAAATAGTATATAAGCTCATCACTAGGCGGGGCTCAATCATGTGTTATTTTTCTTTATATACATAATTACATCAGGTACTGTACTTGTTGGTAATTGTAAAAATATTTAGCTTAAGCTTACCTGTCATTCCTAAATATCTTGGGTAGATATCTTCTGGGAAACCACATGGCCAGAGCACACATCAGAACCCAAAGAATTGCAAGTTCATCAAGCATCTGACCCAGGAAACTGAGGGTTGCATGGAAGTAGACAGATCCAATTCCTAGAATCAATTACAAACCAATAAAGAAGGTCACCATAGGAAAAGGGGCCCACAAGTTCAATATACTGCTTAAGGACTGTCCTTCTACCTACTGCTATCACAATCACCAGATCACTGTCTCACTGAAAACAAACTGAAGGCAGAAACTCACACCACCTAGGCATGCAGGCTCCACATCTAGAAAGAGGCTTTCAAGTAGGGCCCAAATATCAGCACATCAGAACTTTTATTAAGCCCACAGTTAAACACACTCTCTATCCACTGAGCCTTCATAGAAACAGGCAGTAAATAAAAGACAACATTCCCTCACTGTTAACAATTCCCAAGCAGGAGGAAATGGAAATTACACAAGTACTTCACAGAACAATGAAGGATCAAACATCTAGAATGTTTTATTTGAAATGTGCGAGGAGCTACAGTTTCACTAGTGTTCAATTGTTCCACATGGCTTTCTCAAAAAATTGCACTGGCACAAGACCAAAAGCTATTATAGAAATGAATTCTCAGAAGTAATTAAGTGATAGTTATAGCCAAATTTGTTATCAAGCCTGCATTCACAGTGACCTTCTTTTGGCGTCAAGCAAACTGAAAAGAAAACGTTTGCTAAGACGTCAGAGTAACTTTGGTTTATAAAACATAATGTTCAAAGGGGATAGGAAATGTGCAGAATTCCATTTCCTCCCTTTCAGTTCAGGCTCACAAACTAATTCACTTACCCACTACAACCAAAAGAGTCCATATTAAGTAGATGCCACTGTTGAAACATGTTGCATATTGCCGAAACAAGCACATGCAGATGGGCGGCAAAACAAAAAACAAGACGTTGCTGATCTGGGGGTGGAAATGTAAAACGAAAAGATGCATATTAAGTAAATGTCCAGGCAGAAAATAAAGCAGTTTGTCTCAAGTGTGTCCTCTGCAAATGGGAATGGATGTGGCCATACATCTAGCTTAAGCTTTTACTTTTTTTTTTTTTTAATTGCAGATACATAACCAGAAAAACTTAAAACTTCTTAAATAACCAGTTAAGGAACTCCTTGCTTCCTCTCAGATCATACCACTTGCTAATTCATGGCAACCTCATATGTTTCAGAGAATTGTGCTCCATAGAGTGTGTGAAGGCTGTGACATTTTGGAAACAGATCACAAGACCTTTCTTCTCAGGCATATATCTACAGGGGGACTCAAACTGCCAATATTTCAGTTAGTAGACAAGCTCTTAACCATTTGTACCACCTAAGGACTCCTTTCTTTGATTAGTGTTGTTGTGTGCCATTGAGTCAATTCCAACTCATAGCGACCCTATATGACAGACTAGAACTGCTCCCATAGGGTTTCCTAGGCTATAATATTTACAGGGGGAGTTCTGGTGGCATAGTGCCTAAGGCACTTGACTGCTAACCAGAAGGCTGGAGGTTGAAACCTACCAGCCACTCCTCGGAAGGAGGGTTGGGCAATCTACTTCCATAGTGATACAGCCTCAGAAACCCAAGGAGCGGTCGCTATGAGTCGGATCTGACTCGACAGCAGTGAGTTTGGTTTTTGGAATCTTTACAGGAGCAGACTGTCAAGTCTTTTCTCCCATGAAGCTGCTGGAGAAAAGCCTTTGAACTGCTGACCTCTTGGTTAGCAGCTGCACGCTTAACCATCGTGGCACCAGGGCCCCTTCTTTTGATCATAGGAGCAGTTATGAAAACACTGCAAGCTATGAAGGTTGCCCAGGCTCCTCTCTTAATTAAGGGAACCAACTACTCTTTATTTGCACAGACTAATTATGAAGCACCCTAATCTATTTGCATATATATGTTTAATGATAAAGTTTGTACTTAGTAATAGTAAAAAGTTTAAAGCAGGCATGAGAAGGCCTAGCCAAGTTCTAGTTTCCAATCATTTTTCACCAGCAAGGACACCCTTTCTCCTTGACTCACATACAGAGGAGTTTTCCTAATTTCCCCCTTTGTTGCCTTTGATCAACTTTGTCATCCTCATCAAATCCCATTTTTAGGTAAAGACCAAATTTCTAAGTGCCCTTCTAGCTTTAAAATGACATAACTTTATCCTTCAGACTTGAGTATGGGCTTAAGACTCTGTTTTGATTGTGGAATGAGTGGGCTCCTTGTAAAAGACTCTGTGTAATGCCAAAGACATGTGCAGAAATAAAAAGAAGAGCTGAGTCTAAATGAGCAACATCATGGGGAAGCGATGGGGGAAAAGGGGGTGCACAAAAAAAATTATAAAAAGAAAATACTCAGAGACAGGAAGGAGCAGATGAAGTCTACAAAGCCAAGCGACCAGGGGCTTCCAGAAGAAAAGATTGGTCGCACATGTGGGACAATACGGAAAGTTCTTCTTACAAAAGGCCTTTAAAGAACTGTGAGGGTGGGTGCCTGAAGTGGACTGAAAGCTGGGGCAGGGCAGAAGGGCTTTACCAGACCCAAGAAATCACTCTGATGTACAACTAAACAAACAAAATATGTAATGACAACCTCAGTAGCCAACGCATGCCTCTGTCACCATCTAGAACAAGAAGGATCTGGGAGGGACAGTGTTTAGAGAGCAGAGAGAAATAGGGTGGGAGAGAAATGAAACTCAGGAGGAGAACAAGATCCTTTGTCAGGGCGAGATGGGAGCATGGGCACTGCCTTTGGTTGAAACCCAGGGCTGAAAGCCCTAGTTTGGACTCATTAGTAGCAAGAATAATTTCAGAACTATTATCTAGTCAGAAGCAATAACAATTCTGCTTCTTAACTGTATGCAGATCTTTAACTATCCATTCCATTTCAGGACAGATTTTTTTAGAAGGGGATCTTTTTCTCTTTCCCACACAGGAGCCCTATGAGCTAAGGTAAGCCTGGGTAGGGGTACGGATAAATTTTCTCAGATGTCCAAGGTATGCAGGTCTCAAGCCTTGGAAACATTTACTAAGAAACAAGCAAGGAGGAGTCAGGACAAGTCTAAGTACTGCAGATGTAGCAGGCTGTTGTTCACTGTTATTATCACAGCCTTTGTCTTCCTATGGAGTCCTTTTTAAAAAATCAGAGATCTTTAACAGTGAAAAATAAAGAATGTTAAAGATCTTCTCTTGTTTTACAAGGGGGCGTAGTTGAGGACTCAGAAAGGCTCCAAGGCTGACTAAGATCAGAGAAGCAATCAACCAGTCACACAGCCAGGGCAGCATGGAGCCAGCTAACTCCTGACCTCCTGCTCCTCCACTGCTCCAAGATGATTTCCACCTCTAACCCACCCAACACCATTCTGATTGCCTTGGCTTACCTCCTCCATGGGCAAATAGAAATTCTTCATTGTATCACACACTATGCAATACAACTCGTTACATGATTTAAATGTGGTTTAACTTTTGTTACACATAGAAATAGAAGGAAGAAAAAGAAGGGAAGAAGGAGGAGTAGGGGGGAAAAAAGGATTTGTTAGAACATGGTTAACTTAAAATCTCATCTTTCTCCCTTCGTATACGTGAAGGTGTCTTCCTTGTAAAAAAGGAAATGTTACAAAGCTTAAGTCTCCTTTCTATCCTCCTCTTAGACATAATCATTGTTCTCAGACTCATACAGTCTTCAAATCTTTTCTTTGCATATTATATAGAGAGCAAGAGAGCGAGGCACATCTACAGAAAATTGAGCCTCTTGGCAAGTACTGAAATTGCATCCCTACCCAAACATCTGACACCCATCATTTAGATAACTTTACCATAATATCAGCTCAAAAGTACAAGATCATTAATCTTTTGCTTAACATATTACGGCACTACATGAAAATTACAACTGCACCTTCCTTGCTTTCACTGATGAAAATCAGTCTATGATGTGTTCAAAATCTTTTTTTCAATTTTTTCTCTTTCTGTACTCAGCAGAGCAAGACCATATGGTCTGCCTTGATCTATGAAGGCTCTCTAATATGAAAGTACTGTATTAGTTTAACTTGCTGAATGCTATCTCACAGTTGGCAAGGAAGCTATAATTAATAGAAACTGTTCAGTGGTGCCCCCCTTCAAGTGGCACTCTTCCTTCAAGTGGCACTCTGGGCATATACCATATTTTCCACACCTTAGATATGCCTCTGTGTGTGTTAGACACACACACATATACATATATATATCCCCAACCAAAATCCACTGCCGTCAAGTTGATTTTAATGCATACTTGACCATATAGAGCAGAGCAGAACTTTAGGGTTTTGAAGGCTGTAAATCTTTACAGAATTACACTGCCATATCTTGCTGTCGTGGAGTGACTGGTGGGTTTGAATTGCTGATCTTTTTGTTTTTTTTTTTTTTATTACGATTTGGGTGAAGATTTAGAGAGTAAATTCACTTTTCATATAGCAGTTCACATATACTTTGTCTCAT